AGCTTTGGTGAAATGGGTTCAAGCCAAATAATTTTGATCTTCAAAGGGATCAGATTTGTTTATAAAGAAAAATAAAATAAAAGTATAGTAATTAGGCTTTTTGAAAACTATAAATACTATAGATAATATAGTTTTGAAGGCTAATGATTCAAATAACTTGTATTATCAGAAACTCTTGACTATAATAAATGATGATGTGGTATGTTTGTTTAAGAGATTCATGTTCATTAGATAGAGGCATCTGTGTGTGTATATGTATATATTATATTCCTTACTTTTATTATATTTGTGTTTATTTAAAGTCTTAGCTTTATTCTTATGATTGTAATTATCTTAATTTGATATCAATTGACTTAACATGTCAGAAAGCACAATAATAAAATAGCTAGTAGTTATATTAATTTCATATAGCTTCAATTTGTTGAGATGACGCTACAATTGAGAGTCATATTCCTAGTATATAAGGTACGAGAATTTACTTTTTCTTATTATTTTATATTCATATTTCACATTTCATTAATTTAAAGTTTAAATTTTTATTCTTATATATTTGTAATATTCAATTTTATATATGTTAATATTATAATTTTATGTTATTAAAAGAGTTTATATTTTTTTCCAAAATTTTAAAAAATAAATTGCAGTTACAGACCCCATTTCTTTTCACAAAAAATTATGCTCTTTAGCCCTTTTTTTTTTAACTGATCTCCTCTCTTATTCTTTGAGGGGAAATTATAACTAAATATCCCATCACTCAATTTCATTTGTTTTATTCAATAGAAAAGATATGAAAAAATTTTATAAAAAGATATCTTTTATCTTTAAAATTAGATTTTGGGAGAAAATATTAAAAAAAAATTGATTATATTTTACTCATTATAATGGATTTTTCTTTACAGTCCAATCAACTTCTTTAGATCATAAAATTTTTTTTTTATTTTATTTATATGGGTAAGAATATAATAATGAAAATCACATATTGATTGAGACTCTAGAAAAGTCAGAAGTATTATTTGACCTTTGAACGGTGTGTGAATTTCTCTCATTGGATAAAAAATAATGATATAAGGCTCAAGAAGAAGGATATCATGGTTTATTATTCCCATTAATGATTGAGAATAATAATACATGTGTGAGTTTCTTCTATTGAGTAAAAGATGGAAATATGAGGCTCCAGAAGATCTATATTATATTTTATTATCCTATTGATGGTTGAGAATAATATTATAATGGGTGAACTTCTCCCATAGGGTGATAGATGAAAATACAAGGCCCTAAAAGAGCTATATTATGATTTATCATCTCCATTGATAAGTAGAAGTTTATCAATATTTGAGAATAATATTACAATGAACCGAAAGTTCATATGTTTATTGTTTGACATGACCAATTAGCTCATTCCAGATCATAATGATGCAAAATGTTATGAAGAATGTACATTGAAATTTATGTGCTGCTTGTTTTTAAAAGAATTAACTAAGAAAACATCACTAGATGTGCTTGTAATTGGATCCATGCATGTATATATAGTGGATCAAGTTTATATATTGGCCCATTGAGACATCATGTGGACCAATTCAATACATTATAAAAGAAAGATGCATCTATAAAATGGTTACATAGGTGATTATGATCAACAAAAAGGACTCCAGAAGATGTTAATCGTAAATAAGAAGATTTGTTACGGTGCAACCTAAAGTTTGCAAATATGTTCAAACAATTACATTTGGTGCATAAATGCATAAGTCCCATATTATGCAAATGATTCCTGTTGAAATAGTAGTAATTGTTCCTTGACCTCTCAATGATTATATGCTTAGTAAAAGCTTCCATAAGTAGTTAGAGCAAAACTTATGAGAATAAAATTCCCATTTTAGTATTGGGATGATTGATTTTATATATTTTTACATATAAATATATCAAGCCAACAATGTAATGTGATTCCCCATCATAATTGGCTTTTGGTTAGGAGCCGGATATTTTCCATCTTAGAATATGTAATATCTATTATTCAACCGCAATAATGCATACAAATGGATATTAAAAGTAAGTTGGGATCAACGTTGAATAAGAATCCTCTTATTCTTGTTTGTCTCTAAATGAAACAAAATAATATTTCTAAAGGAAACTTATGGATTTGGGAGACCTATACTGCATATTCCCAATATGAGGGGGAGAAAATGAGTAGCTGTCAAAGAGAACACATAGAATGCATTTTTACTATTAAATATAGATCTTCAAATACAGTAGTATGAACTAAAAGTTTATAAAGTATCGTATTTATAAAATATTACTAATACATGTTATATGTAATTATTGACTCAAATGAGAATTCTTCATTCTTATATTCCAACTAAAAGTGCTTCTATGTTTTTAAGATATACTAAAAGTATGAGAGTAAGATCGGTTGCAAAAGAAAAGAAAAAGGAACAAATTATCAAGATGATCATACTAAGAAGGCATGAATTGCAAAAGAGATTAAGACATAACTATTTGATCCTTGAAGAGGTTTAAGTGTCTGAAAGTAATAAGGAGACTTCAGTATGTTATGTCATAAAAGAAAAGGGAACCAATAAAAAAAAAATGGTCAACAATAATTTTAGTAATCATATCACATGATCAAATAAGGATCTTATATATAAATTTGTCATGAGATACAAACAAAAAAATGGTTGGCCCACAGAAAAGAAAAAATGCAATATAATAGGGATTTGTATATCTCTAACCCAAGCACCTGGAGTGTAATGTTAGTATTATTTAAATAGGCATTCATACATGAAAAGTGAAATGCAATCTTATGGTGGATTAAATTTTTGTGTATCTCATCAATCAGACAATTTGATAATGGATGAAAATATTTCATATGCGTCTAGAAAATATAATGACTCGTTATATAGTGAAATTTTATATGAATCTCAGAAAGATTCAAACCCTTGTTTGAGTTTAAAATGATCCAATATACGAATTGTTAGATTTTTGGGCTTGGATCCGCCCTTGATGGGTCGGATTATTTGACCGGGTATAAAGAAAATATATCAGTCAAATATCCAAGCGATATCGTGATATGTTTGACTTGGTCAAACACCCTGAATCATATCCAATCGGTTACGATATAAATCTAATTAATTTATATTAAATTAATTAATTTATATTGTGTAGATTAAATATATATTAAGTATATATATTTAGAATTAATTAAGATTGATTCTGGATTTGAATTCAAAATATCATGATATTATGAGATAAGGATATATTATATCTTATCTCAGATTTTATCTGATGGGCTCAGTGGATATTTTTATGCTACCCAAAATATCCCTGACAAAAGCTATAAATAGAGGCTTCCCCCCATCAGTTCAAATCACTCCAGTAGTAGAGCTTTCCTACTATCTCTCTCTCTCTCTTATTTTCTTTCTTGCAAAAGTGGTGCTCTGCTGTGCACTTAAAAGCTTAGACTTTTATAGTCTAGCTTAAGCGTGAGCTAAGGAGATCCGACCGACCCGACCCGAGATTCGACCCGGTATGTTTTCGATCCATCCTCAAATTTTTCTTACATTGGTATCAGAGCCGAGATGTTCTTGAGGCTCTCAATATATGTGTGCATATATATATTACACGCTCATTTTTTTTCCGCTGCATTGTGAATATGCCGTATGCAATTCGAACTCTATATGCTTGTGTTTTAAATTCACATACACACTCCGTTTATATAAGTGAAGTTCGAAAACATTACCTGTTATTCCGTAAGGCTTAAAAACGTGATCGAAGTCTACTTTCTGAAGCTTTCAACGTCGGCCGTTCGAACATTTTTTTGGGTCTTTAAAATTGATGTTTTTTAAAGAAAATAAACCCATAGAGTTGTATAGCACGAAAATACGAGTCCATAGACACCTAAAATGCATAAAACGGAGCTCGGAGGAGGAAGATACGGCGGTTCGAAAATGGCGGGTCGCGATGGACCCGCCGGAGCTCCAGCCGGATCTGGGGCGACCCGGCTGGAGGTCAGGGACGACCTGACCAGCCCAAAACGGCGTCGTTTTGGGCTGGCCAGGACGCAGCGTTTCACTTTAAGTGAAACGCTGCGTTTCGGGTCCGTGGACCCGGATCCCCCTGGAAGTCGGGTCAGTAGACCGATCCAACCGACATTTTTTTTAAAAAAAATTTTATTTCAAAATTTTTTTTTGAAATTAAAAAAAAAAGTTTTTTTTGAAATTTTTTTTGGACGCGCCATGTGGGCGCGTGGGATCCACCTAGGGACCCTTTGGTCATAAAAAGCACATATATAGACTCCTTGAGACGTGAGGAATCAGATGGAATAGGTCAGGTGACGGTGAGAGGCCGTAAAGGCGGCGCGTGTATGACACGCGCCGGTCCCGAGAGTGGGCGAACCTAGCTCTTTAAAAAAAAATTTTTTTTTGCTTATTGGGGCGCGTGAGGACGCGTGAGGGGCTATTTTTGAGTCCTGTTTGACCTGAAATATTTCTAAAATCATGAGCTATGAATTAATATATTATGTGCTGATTTTTTTGTGACTTTTTGGGTATGAAAAATAGCAAATAAATGTTTTAAATATTTATTTTTATATTTTTCTTAACTTGTTATTCTTGGGTTTAGGAAATGGCCAACTCAAACTCAAATTCTAACTCCTCTTTTGGAAAATATCCAACTTATTCTCCTCTTTCTGATGCTCTGAAATCCTCAAATTATTATGCTGCCAAAAGTACAAATAAAAGAAAAGCGCCTCAATCACAAGTAAACTCTAATGTACCTGAGGGGAGCAGTGGTAAAAGGAAATGTGTTCCTGACCAACAAGAGGAAGAAGTCTGCAGACCCAAGGACATAAATTTAATAGAACAGATAGCAGAAAAGCATGCTGATGAATACAAGCATCAAAAGTGCCTCTTTTCAAAATTGACTTATTATGCTAAACAAATTGTCAATGAGCAAGACGCACTCTTTTTCTCAAATATTGCAATCCAGTACAGAGAGGAACTGGCGAGGAGGGGAAATGTGTTCCTGACCAACAAGAGGAAGAAGTCTGCAGACCCAAGGACATAAATTTAATAGAACAGATAGCAGAAAAGCATGCTGATGAATACAAGCATCAAAAGTGCCTCTTTTCAAAATTGACTTATTATGCTAAACAAATTGTCAATGAGCAAGACGCACTCTTTTTCTCAAATATTGCAATCCAGTACAGAGAGGAACTGGCGAGGAGGGGACACATATTTAGTGAAGCATTTTTTAAACAATGTCTCTGTAGATGCTGGAAAGGTGTTAAAGAGAGTTTAAGAGAACTAATGATAAAATATATCATGAACGAATGAGTTTTTGTTCACATTTATATTTCTTTTCATTTAATGTTTACTCTTGAGACTTTATTTTTGGAATTATCCATTTTTTTGTAAACATTCATGCTTCAATAAATAAAGTTTTTTTTTATTTCAAATGCTTTATTTGAGTGGGAGTTTCATGAGGAAAACTCCAAATTGGGGATATGTTCAAGGAAAGTCAAAGGTAAGAAAGGTAAGAGACTAACCAGGAGTAATGGGATGGGAGCCAACCTAGTTGTCTCCTGATCATGAAAATGGTGAGACTCTTACCCAGACGACCTATGACCTACTTGAATAAAGTGTGTATACTGCATACCGTACTAAAATGCATTGTTGTCTATGTGATAGCACGATGTCTCAAAAGGAATCAAGTCCATCATAGCTGACCTCGTAGGAGGTGACAAGCTGAACGGAGACAATTACAGCATGTGGCGTCGTAAGATATCGTATGTCCTCGAAGAACAAGAAGTCACTGATGTGTTGACTACTTTTCTTCTAGAGCCTGAGGCAAATGCATCGCGAAGGGATCAGGACGGCTACGCGGCTTGGAAAAGAAGGGACACTATCACCAGAATAACCATGCTAAGTGCCATGACTGACGATGTGTTGGTGCAATTCGAAACACACTCTTCAGCCTCTGCCATGTGGGCAGCACTGAAATCTGAATTTGACGGTACCTCTGCTGCGAGGCTTAGGAGACTCACCGTCAAACTTGATAATTTCAAGCTGGGTCCTAACACTCCCATAAGGCATCACCTAAGGGCAATGCAGAACTTAATAAGGGAGCTTAAGGAAGCCGGAGGCGCTTTATCTGATGAGCAACAAATTCAAGCTGTCATGAGATCTCTCCCAGCAAGTTGGGATACCATGAAGTACACCATTACTCATAATGAGAGTATAAAAACCTTTGCTGATGTAGCTCGCCACCTCCAACTGGAGGATGATCGGATGGAAACTGTGAAGCCTGTCAGTAAGGCATATTTAACTGAAGGAAAGGGAGGGGCAACCTCCCAAAACCAGTCCAAGAGAAGCAAAGGCTCTCAAAATAAGAAAGGCGGCCCTAAAGTGAAGAAAGGAAAGAGTTCCTTCAAGAAAGGTAAGAAACCTGCAAAGAAGCAGAACATAGCAACCATCAAATGCTATGCTTGCCAACAAAAGGGACATTATGCCAAGGACTGCCCTGAGCAGAAAAAGGTATTGGATTCAGATTCAATACATTTCTCTTATGTTTCTAGCACTGCGTTTATTGCTGAAACTAATCCTGTTTGGGTTATAGACTCAGGGGCCACAGACCACGTGAGCAAGGATCGTGGGAACTTCACAGAATTTCGTCGGTTACCAGCAAGAAGCAGATGGCTTTATGTTGGGAAAACGCGAGAGTAGAAGTCAAAGGGATCGGTACTTGTGAGCTGACCCTGCATGGAGGAAGGACCCTAGTCCTGCAAATGTCCTCTACGCTCCGGAAATCCGACGAAATCTTGTGTCTGTTATTTCCTTAGTTAAATTTCATTTTAATGTCTTTTTTCATGATTTCACAGTAGACATTTCGTATGGGACCAACTTTTCAGTTTCTGGTTATGTTTCAGATGGTTTCTTTGTTTTAAAAATTTCAATGATAATTTTTCTAGTTCTTGCTATGCGCTTTCTTCCGATGTCAATTACGATATATGGCACGCTAGATTAGGACATATTGGTCAAGAACGCATGACCAAACTGGCAAAAGAGGGTTTGCTAGGAAACGTGTCCAAAAAGGAAATGTCTCTGTGTGAACATTGCCTTGCTGGCAAGAGTACAAGGAAGCCTTTCGGAAAGGCAACCAGGGCTAACCATCCTCTTGAATTGGTACACTCTGATATTTGCGGACCAATGAGTGTTAGGGCACGTCACGGAGCATGGTATTTTATTACCTTCATCGATGATTCTTCCCGATATGGCTATACTTACCTGATTTCCCACAAATCTGAGGCATTAGAGTGCTTTAGAAAATATCTCAATCTAGTGGAAAATCAGCTAGGTTCAAGAATCAAAGCCTTAAGAACTGACCGAGGCCGAGAATACCTCTCTGATCAGTTCAAGGAGCTCTGTGAAGAAAGGGGCATTGTTAGGCAACTAACAATCCCTGGCACTCCTCAACAGAACGGAGTTGCTGAAAGGAGAAATAGAACTCTCCTCGATATGGTTAGATCAATGATGGCACAAGCTGAGCTTCCAACCTCATATTGGGGAGATGCTCTTTTAACCGCCACATTCATACTTAACCGAGTGCCTTCTAAATCAGTCACCACAACCCCTTATGAATCATGGACAAACCGCAAACCGGATCTAAGCATCCTAAGACCATGGGGGTCAGCGGCCTATATTCGTGATTCTTCCCATAAATATGACAAGCTAGAACCGAGGGGCAAAAAGTGTATCTTCATAAGATACTCTGAGAACTCTAAGGGGTATGTCTTCATTGGTGAAAATGATGACGGCTCAGTGACTGAGATAGAGTCAAGGGACGCAACATTCATAGAAACCGAATATCCTAGCAGAGGGAGTATTGATCGAACAAGCCGTCTTTATGAGGATGATGGCAATGAGGTACAACAAAGTGTTCCTCAGTCTACTGATCCAGTGGGAGGGTTGAACCATTTTCACAACAAGGTTTAACCCAGTCACAGGAAGTAAGTCCTACAACAACCCCACTTAGGAGAAGTAACAGAGACAAAACTCCTAAGAGACGCTTCTCAATTGAAGGAGCAACCTTCATCGTTAGTCCAGAACACGATGAAGAAGACCCCGTAAGTGTTAAAGAAGCACTAACAGGACCTGCTAAAGAAAAATGGCAGAAGGCCTTACAAGAGGAAATGGATTCCATGGAATCCAACCAAGTATGGGAATTAGTTGATCTACCACCTGGCCGAAAGGCAATTGGGAGCAAGTGGGTTCTCAAGTACAAACGTAAGGCTGATGGATCAATTGATAAACCCAAAGCAAGGTTAGTTGCCAAAGGGTATACACAACGGGAAGGAGTGGATTACGCAGACACCTTCTCACCTGTTGTACGTTTCAACTCGATACGACTGATACTGGCTTTAGTAGCAAGTTTAGACTTAGAGTTACATCAGATGGATGTAAAAACCGCCTTCTTGAATAGAGAACTAGATGAGGAAATCTATATGGAACAGCCTGAGGGCTTCATACAGAAAGGGAACGAACAAAAGGTTTGTAAACTCTTGAGATCCATTTATGGACTCAAGCAATCATCTAGACAGTGGTACTTAAGGTTCCACAAAGCTATAAGCTCCTATGACTTTGAAATGATCGAGGAAGATCACTGCGTTTATATCAAGCGGTTTGGAGACAACTTTGTCATTCTATCCCTCTATGTCGATGACATACTACTGGCTGGTACCAATCTTAAACTAATAAAGATGATCAAAGAGTGGTTATCCTTGAACTTCGAGATGAAAGACATGGGCGAAGCAGAATATATCTTAGGCGTTAAGATAAGAAGAGATCGTTCTAGAAAATTGCTGTCATTGTCACAAAAGGCATACATAGCAAAGATTCTTGAGCGTTTCAATATGAGAGATTGCAAGCCTATGGATACCCCTGTGGTTAAGGGACATAACCTAAGTGAGGAAATGCGCCCTACAAAACAATGCGATATAGAACGCATGAAGAGAGTCCCATACTCAAGTGCCGTTGGCAGCCTAATGTACGCCATGTTGTGTACCAGGCCAGACATATGCTTCGCAGTTGGACTTGTGAGTCGATTCCAATCCAATCCAGGAGTCAAACACTGGGAAGCTGTAAAGAGGATTATGAGATATCTAAAAGGAACCATGGACTATGAGCTATGCTATCAAGGAAATGGCCTTCGTGCGGAGGGTTATTCCGATGCTGATTGGGCAGGAGACCTGGACGAGCGACACTCGACGTCAGGCTATGCTTTCCTACTGAATAACGGAGCAATCTCCTGGAGCAGCAAGAAACAAACGTGTGTGTCTCTTTCATCCATGGAAGCAGAATATGTAGCTTGTTCTGCAGCTGTCCAAGAAGCTGTGTGGCTCAAAAGATTCTTAGTACGATTGGGAATCCATGGTGGGAGTGAGGGACCAACTCTGATTCACTGCGATAGTCAAGCAGCAATAGCCTATGCAAAGGACCCTAAGTACCACAATCGTACTAAGCATATAGACATAAAGTATCACTTTGTAAGGGATATGATCGCTAAGAAACAAGTGACAGTTCAATACTTGTCCACTCATAAGATGTTGGCAGATCCCCTAACCAAGCCTATAGCTAGAGATCCTTTCGTTAAGCATGTAAAGGCCTTGGGCATGCGTAGAGCATGATGTATTGAACTCCTTTTTCTTTTTGATCCTTTTGTTCAAATACGCAGGCACAAGGCATGTTGTACTGAACCTTTTCCTCTTACTTAGTAATTCAATGCATTTTATCCAGTTCAAAGAAATTTTTCTTGTATATTTGTGTATTTATACATCATAGGCACAAGGTATGCAATACAATTATGTCGTACAGGTCACAAGGTTGGCTCACTCACACGAGCAACCGCCTCGCTATGTTCTCATGGGATATAGAAGGTTTGACAGCAGATGATCACCATGAGATGGTAGAGAAGAATCACTGCGCAAATGTCACCTCAGCTAGACTGAGATGAGACCCATAAAAAGTTTGGGCCGAATCATGGATAATGTGTCATCCATGAGACCTGTAGCCAGACAAGGAACTCTTTACTAGTGAGACGTCATATATAGTTGTGATGAAAGAGCTCCTGGTTCAAATGTTGAAGTGCATTTGGAACTTAAGTCTGTACGGTGCTATTAAAACCAAAAGCGACATACTCCACTTGGTGGATTGAGCACCGTAACATGCAATTCATACTGCATGAGCTCACTCAAATCCGCAACAAGGGACGTAGATGGAAGATCCCTGATCCATTACGGTGTGAGTCCCAGAAAGGAAATAAACCTTTCATAATGCCCTTAAGACTTAGACAACATCACAAGGTTTTGGTTTAGTGGCAGCTACTCTAGCCTAAACCCCATGGTCAAGAATGATACGATCTAACGGGTCAAGACTGAGAAAGCGACTATGCCAAATCTAAATGATGAATAGTCAGAAGGAAGATTTATCCTGAAATACACATCTACGTTGGTGTCTGTGACATGTCCCTTGCAGGTTGAACAGAACAACTAAGCAAGTGTGGATACCATACGTATGAAAAAGGCAATCTGAGTAAATAAAATAACTCGAGAGGGATTAGATATGCCACAAGTAAAGTGTATGGATAAAACTAGGGCATTTGAGGCAACAAGCATACAATTTGCAGGTACACCAAGGGTGTTCTTGTGTGCTGGTCCTGCATAAAGGATTCCTACTGCACAGGCGCCCGAATCGATGACGTCATGCCCACGCGGTCACGGCAGACACCTAGTATGAAGCAATGAAAGATTTAGCTATTGCACGATGGACAGCCCATCAAGTGCGAGTGGGAGATGTTAGATTTTTGGGCTTGGATCCGCCCTTGATGGGCCGGATTATTTGACCGGGTATAAAGAAAATATATCAGTCAAATATCCAAGCGATATCGTGATATGTTTGACTTGGTCAAACACCCTGAATCATATCCAATCGGTTACGATATAAATCTAATTAATTTATATTAAATTAATTAATTTATATTGTGTAGATTAAATATATATTAAGTATATATATTTAGAATTAATTAAGATTGATTCTGGATTTGAATTCAAAATATCATGATATTATGAGATAAGGATATATTATATCTTATCTCAGATTTTATCTGATGGGCTCAGTGGATATTTTTATGCTACGCAAAATATCCCTGACAAAAGCTATAAATAGAGGCTTCCCCCCATCAGTTCAAATCACTCAAGTAGTAGAGCTTTCCTACTATCTCTCTCTCTCTCTTATTTTCTTTCTTGCAAAAGTGGTGCTCTGCTGTGCACTTAAAAGCTTAGACTTTTATAGTCTAGCTTAAGCGTGAGCTAAGGAGATCCGACCCGACCCGACCCGAGATCCGACCCGGTATGTTTTCGATCCATCC